TGTAATGACCATGAAGGAATACATCAGAAAAACATGCACATCTCTCTGCACATAGCCAAGTGAAGATAGAATAATTGGATCCTCCCTTGCTCCCCCATCGGAATAATGGGTTGTCCCTTTAAAACATTATTGTTGCAAGTTATATGATAAAACATTATTGCCACAAGCAATACATTAAATAACTATAAACAATTTAATAACAAAAAAATAAACAAGAAGCAACAAATATGTTAGATGAATCAAGGCTGAGTTTGGTATATTTTTTACTGGCCGCAGTTCAAATTCAAATTTGCATTAACCCTTGGGACGCTATGATTTTTCCCACCTAAATTTGTGTGCAACATTTTGCTTATAATTGCTTATTTTTTTATAATTATTTTGAACCAAATGGACATAATGTTCTATTAACTACATTCTCTGTGAAAAATGTGACATTTTATTCTGTGAATGATGACGAAAGTTTACTGTGACATCCAAAAGGTTAAAGCGAGAGGGTTGTCACCCGCGCATGCGCAGGAATTGAGTCCCAAGCGACGATAACAACACATGCTAAAAACGCAAAGGCTCATGGGTAGACGCTTGTTTGTAAACAATGACACGCTGACGTATGCGCAGGAGACGACTCCCTTGCTTTAAGATTGTGACAATACAATTAGAATGCTGGGAAAAATATGACAAATAAACATAACATGAAATGCAATGAGTACCACATTGGAAGTCGTTTACTATATTTGCTCTCCATGCATTGTAAATACCAAGATTAGTGAATTACATATGCAAGCCGAGAACAAGCAAAAGTAAATGCAAACAACCTTCAGTTTGTACTTGCGCATCAATATAAATCGAGGACTCACTCTTCGGTGTCACTTTTGGTCTTGGTTGATCGACAGGGTGTCCCGCCCATGTTTTAAGGGGTCTGCTATCAACTGGTCTTGGAGGGCTCGATTCTTCAGGCAATCTCACTGGACCAGTTTCAAATCTATTCTGCGAGTGCCTCTGGAATGGCGACGTTGGATAGTTTTCCTCAATCGGATCAGGATCTCTGGTGTGGACACCGGCTGATGGTGACTTGATTAACTGAATAAAAGGAAAAACAAATAAATTCTAGTTTACTATAGAAAATATCCTCAGGGTGAAATTCATGTGCAAAACATCATTAACAGTAAAGCAGCTTTTAAAAATAACAAACTACAAACATACAAAAAATAAAATAAAACAGCCACACATAGATCCAATAATAAGCAAATAATGTTCTAAAATCAATACCAGTAATTTATATTTTGTTTAGAAATAAATAATGATGAATATAATCTTATAAATTTAACAAGCAGCCTATCGGCTGAGATAGCTCCGCTGTTAGCAATGCACATTTCAATTAAAGAACTGAAGACATCATTAGAAAATGAACAATATGTATAGTATCAAAGCAATCGGACTTACAGTTTTTAAGAAGAAGTCGAAAATATCACTTTCTACCAAAAATGACAAAAATATTCACCAAAATTAGAGAATTGAAGATATCATCACGAAATGAACAAATCTGAGAAAGGTCTACATGTAGTATCTATATATGTAATATCAAAGCAATTGAACTTTTGGTTTTTAACAAGAAGTCGACAATATCACTTTTTACCAAAAATTACAAAAATATTCACCAAAATTAGAGAATTGAAGATATCATCACGAAATGAACAAATCTGAGAGAGGTCCACATGTAGTACCTATATATGTAATATTAAAGCAATCGTACTTGCGTTTTTTAGCAAGAAGTCGAAAATATCAATTTTTACCAAAAATATTCACCAAAATTAGAGAATTGAAGATATCATCACGAAATAAACAAAACTGAGAGAGGTCCACATGTAGTACCTATATATGTAATATCAAAGCAATCGTACTTGCGGTTTTTAGCAAGAAGTCGAAAATATCAATTTTTACCAAAAATGACAAAAATATTCACCAAAATTAGAGAATTGAAGATATCATCACAAAATGAACAAATCTGAGAGAGGTCCACATGTAGTACCGTAAAATCTGTATTAGAAGCCGCATCCCTAACAGAAGTCGCACCCATTTTTTTAAAAAATTGGGAATCAAAAATTCATCATTTCTCATATGTGTAGATGCTCTAATAGAAGCCGCATCCTCTCTGTTGTATTGTACCATTTTAATAGAAGCCGCGGCTTCTAATACAGATTTTACAGTACCTATATATGTAGTATCAAAGCAATTGGATTTGTGATTTTTAACAAGAAGTCGAAAATATCACTTTACCAAAAATGACAAAAATATTCACCAAAATTAGAGAATTGAAGATATCAACATAAAATAAACAAACCTAAGAGAGGTCTACCCAAGGTACAAATACACCAAGTATCAAAGCATTCAGGCTTGTTGTTTTCAAGAAGAAGTTGAAAAAGTAAAAACATTGACACGGACGAAGGACAATCACTCATATGATAAGCTCCGCTCGACAAAGTCGACAGCGGAGCTAACAAAACTGTTTTTCTTGACTGCGTTTGATTGTAAGTCAAGTATATAGATCTGTAACCACCAAATATTACCTTCAGCTGACATTTTCACCATAGAGGGCATACTTTGGAGTGAAGATGCAAATATAGAGAGGTGGTATGCTAATACAAATGTATTTTATGAGAGGGTGGGGGGGGGGGGTAAAAAGGCTTACTTTGGTATGTGACTTGACATCAGCACCACAGCTACAGGGGACTTTATCAGCCTGATATCTGGAATGTTTGGGACTGCTCTTTTGTACCATCTTTCGCGATAACTGGGGAACACTGTCTTCATCATCACTACGGTAACCATTTTCTGAAGCTAGAGTATTAAAAAACGTGATTGAATTGATTATTATGACAACGATAACAAGAAATATTGACCTCATCGTGGCATGAATGCATGAGCAGTACCACTATACATACGGTAAGACGAGGTCAAAGACGTCAAAGCTGTTGTACAACATGGGTTTGAATTACATTTAAACAATGTAATTTTACACACATTGTATATTTTTTATGGGACCGACATTGAACATGAAGTCACTTGGTGAGATGACTATAGAGCTTCGACAATATAGCAATGCGTAATCTTTTTGCTCAAAGTTTGAACCACAAAACTAATGAATATTTATAAGCTAATGGAATATAAACACGTTAATGAATACGCATGAGCTAATGAATATTCATTAAATGCATAGTTACAAGTACACTTACCTGGTTGCAACTTTGCTCCACTCTCCTTTGAACTAGGACTCTGTTTCTTGACACCTGAGGACCTTTTAATATTTGGTGAAGATAATAAGGCACCACCTGTCATCGGAATAAAGCATTATTGATTACAGTCAGTACTTTTATGATGAGAAATACCAGTCAGTGAAAGCAGTTGGTACTTTTATGATTTGATAGACAAAAAGTGAATAGGTCAATAGTAACTATTGAAATTGAAACATTCAGGTGAACTTGCATTTTGGTGTTACAATCAATGCATTCACAGTACCAAACAAGATTAAGTATTTTGCTAAGTCAACTTCAGTCACAATCCACAAAATAGTTCCATTTATAGTCTGCTTTTTTTCACAGAAATTATGGTCAATATTTTCTGTTGACATTTTTTGGGATCAAAAATGAGAAGCAATGTCACATTTTCTCCATTTGGTCGAAAATTAAAATTGAATTCAGTGATAATTATAGAAAATGTGAATAAATTTAACTCTAGTCTGAGAGGTAAAACCAATTTGGCACTGCCATTAAAAAAAAGTTGATTAATTGGAATACATGTGCAGAAATATAAATGTCTTCAAATTGGAAGACTAAAACATGGCTGAAAAAGCCTGAAAGTATTATGCTCACCAACTGCAGGTGTCGTTCTTGCTAAGTGATGTCGTTGTTTACTGGCGTCTGGTTTCTTTGTAAGCCGTGGTGTTGGAATGCGTCCCTCTTCATCGTCATCATTGGGAGTTAGAGTATCTCTTGACGATGACTGAAGACTTTCTGGAGTAGGAATGGTGCCAATACTGATGGGGAAAGTACAAGTAATCTATGAGGGGTAGGCATTAAAATGTACGCATAATACATACCGTATTCCCGCCACATATTAAAATACAGAAGATGAGCTTGAGATCTTTTTGGACAATAATTACAATCCTGAGTGATATCAGGTGCTATAAAACAATCAGTATTCCAATCTGGAGAAGAATTCTCACAACTGACAATTCCCTGTGTATTAAAGAGGGAGGGTCGCCACCTGCGCACACGCAGGAAGTGAGTCCCAAGCGAGGGAGTCATCACCTGCGCATGCGTCAGATGGCCATATCGTGTCATTGTTTACAAACAAGCGTCTACCCATGAGCCCTTGCGTTTTGGGCAGTTGTGTTGTTTATCGTCGCTTGGGACTCAATTCCCGCACGTGCGCAGGTGACGACCCTGCCGCTTTAACTGATGCATTTTCAAAATACATTGTTTTTGTTTAATGCAAATGTCTTCTCAGCTGACCTAGTCACATGATACAATACACAAAACTGAATGAAAATGATCTCAAGTCACATTCGGCATCCAAGATACCAAACACTTTTAACTTCATTATTTTCAGAGTGAAAAAAAAACATGTTTTATTTTCAGAAACAAACCAATACCAACCTGGATACTTCTTCTTGTCTTGGTTTTTCATCCACTGGCCAGGCTAACTTCCGTTTCACCGATGCTGGTTGTGGGGTTCTCTCTGAATCGTGAGGAGACGGAGAAGGAGATGGTGTCAATTTACGTCTTTCTTCCTCTCGTGCCAACTTGGCTTGTTGTTGTGCTGCAACTTCTTTGGTGTACGTTTTACCCGCTGCAGGTCTGAAAGAAGAAATATTACATCGTCTACATGAAATATATAGGGATAGCAGATAAATCATGATTTTGATATTGTAGCATGTGTCAGGTGAAATAGAGCAAACAACTCAGTACATACCTGGCTGTGGATACCGTTCGTTCACTTGGTGTCAATGTGCTGGTACTTGACACACTCTCCATTTCCCACATCTTCACTTGCTGCGCTAGTAACTGCGCTAAATGTTCCCTTGAGAAATGAGTACCCCTTGCACGTTTCTGGTATTCCTGGGCTTTTTTCCTCAGCTCTACAACCTGAAACGACACATCACTGGCATTAATTTTCTACAAATGATTTCTACAAAATCCACGGAAATGTCAATTTTAGTTTTTGATGGATGAATTTCAAAACAATACCATGTCTATGTGATACATTATGAATAGTAGGAAATAAACTAGTGTTGCGTGCATATATTTGATTGTGTGTTTTAAAACATTGGAACTACTGGAAAAAGTGTGATATGGATGATTGTGGACTGGGATAGAACACGATTCACCGAGAGAAATAATTCTAGTCCTATTGATGTTTGCCACAGTTGCCCATTCCTTTATTCTCTAGTGTCTTTAATTAACCTTTTCACCACCAGACCCTCCTATATATATTCTTCATTATTTCAGGATAAGAACCATATTTTTACAGACAAAATTTGAGTCAATTCTCAGATTTTACTCAAAATATTTAGCTATTTTTGTCTCAATCTTCTGAAGGAAAGTGCAGACTATAAACATAATTCTTTTGTGAATTTGTGATGACAAGAGGGAACTGGTGGTGAAAAAGGTTAATTTCACATTATTTTACATAGTTTGTGCAAAAAGTCATAAGGTGCTCTCAATATTCATATCTCACTTATTCAGTTGATTTTGGGTGCATATGAAGATGTCTCAAATGCAAATTGCGAAGTCATAGCGAAGTGTGTTGCCATCAAAGCCCTGACTCGATTATTCTCACCTCTTTAAACCATTTAGCATCATGCACTGAGTCTTTCTTTTTGTCTGAGTAATTAGAGAACTGTTTAGGAGTTCCCCTTACCTCACCGAACCAATCAGGTGCTACACCAATTTTCTCCTGCTTGGAACTTTCATCCCGAGGTTCGATATGCGGTGGATCGGCTCCACGCCACACACCATCCATATAGCTGAACACCCTAGGATCATGGTAATTGGAACGGTATTCAGACTTCCATTTCCTGGAATTATTAAAAATATTATGCATAAATACATTAATACGAAATATAAAAGACGCACTGTGGTGAAATAAATAATTTTTCATTATATACTTACTTTATCGCTGCATGAGGGAAAAATGGTTTCTGTGGATTCTGTGCATTTTTCAGCTGTTCCGGCAAATGGAATGTTGGAACACCGGCTGCTGGCATTTGGTCTGGAGTAACAACTTCTTTTTTACTACCACTTTTTCTCCTCTTACCCTGTACCAAATTAAAAAAACAAACATTGAACGATATTTCGTATGACGAGAATTATTCTTAAAGACAGGTGCTTGGAGTATTAAGGTAAACTCCAACTCATGAAAATATTCAGAATTTATACATTTTGCAATAAATTGAGCTCCTGGTCATATAAGGATATTGACTTTAAAAACAAATCATGCTGTAGTCACCAACCTATTTTTTTGAGAAAATAATGGCTGTTTTATATGGCGGCCATTTTGTCAGTATCACAACGCTTTTAGGTTTCTCGGGTAGAAATATTATGCCATATCAAATTGTGGGCAGATGACAAAATATCATGACTGATTGGATGCTTTTTGTTATCCAGAATTATTTCAAAAATCTGGATATGAAAAGGTGACAAAAATGTTTTGCTATTTGATCTATTGTGCAATTATTGTTGAATAATATTTGACTAATTTTCTCAAAATACGGAATTGTAAAACACAACATACTACTGTTTGATGTTACCACATTGTCATGGGACTTATGACTAACTTTCTAAAAATCTATCGGTATCTATCAGCGTCTCTTTTGAATTATATATACCAATATTTTCCTTTAAAAGAGTGTGACAACACACACTCAAACCCCAATTATCCAGCGGCAAGGCTTAATTTGTTTCAAATAAATGATAGTTTGGATAATCAATCACATGTAGATGAATAATTAAGCAAAGCCAATGAAAAGTTATGGATAATCTGCTCAATTTGTTTTCTAAAATGGATGTGCCACAGGTGACTTTTTTTTATTCTGAAATTGTCATCAAATTTGTGATTTTTTGTGAAAATTGAATTTTTCTTTCATTTTTTTTCAAAAATTGTGACAATTAATAAAAAGCCTTAAAAAAAAGCTGTGAAACACATATTTTGAGACTGACGTATGTGGTGACCAGAAACAGGAATAATTTTGTTTCTGGAGCTCAGTCAAAACCTTTTAATAAATTCACACTTTTGTTTGAAATTCCTGGTACATTTAAAGGTAACATTTATTGAGGTTCTATCGTACACCTACCTTGGATGATTTCTTCTTTTGTTTGACTTCCAGTTCAGCATCTCTTTTAGCATGCTCTTTTAGCATTTCTACCTGAGAAGGTCTTGATTCATTCCATGCCTGGAACTGGGCATCATACTCAGATTTACTTGGCACGTTCTTGGGCATGTACGTTTGGATAGCATTAGAATTGTAAATCATCTGAAAAAGTTACAAAATAAAAGTCAAAAATTTTTATTAAAGGTCTAAAAATTGCAAAATAGGTGACATGTTTTTTCAGAAAGAAAGTAAATATTATAATATTTGTTTTTCTGTGCATAATGTTGGAATTAGACTATTAAAATGCAAGTTACATTAATTCCTGATAAAACATTCACATACAAAATGGCTGCCATTTTACTCCCATGGTGCTTCATTAAACCAAACTGTTTTGTGTTCCACATCCATGCTGTCAAAATCCTTTTTTTTTTATATCCACTAAGGTACAAGCGAAATATACCTTAATTGAATACATGTATTTCTAAGGTCAATGGATAAGCTTCATGCAAACAGGGCTTCGATAGGAGTCCTACATAATGCTTCTGAATTACACCTTCACTCGTGCATATCAGGGTTTAATCATCCCCCAAACACATAAATAATTGTGGAGCAAATTTTCACTTTATCCTTGAAGAGATTCCAGAAATAAAAATTGGAAAACAGGAGAAGACGTGCTGTTTGTGATGAATGAATGGGCGTGAAATTATTCGATGGGTGTTAAAATGGTGGTCAGACTGTAAAGTCTTAAGGTTCTTATAAACTGTTGACAAAACCATAAATACTAGTCTTCAGGATTCTCTTGAATATGTATTTATTGCTGGATCAAGGTGACATTATCTGTCTTTTGTCTAGCAACACGCTAAAAACAAAGACAAATGAGGAGGGGACACATTCACATAGCAAAGACACAACAATAGACCAATCTTATTTGCAAAACTCAATGTGCAAATTTGTGGCAATATATTTGTACCTGTTCAGCAGCTATGAGTGGTGATTCTTTAAATGCTGGTGTCTTCCATGCAAACTGTCTTTGATATTCAGATAATCTTTTTGGTCCTGGAGGTTTTCTCCTGTGACCTGCTCGATATTTCAATCCTCTCTCAGACTGCTGTAGCAAAAATTACACAGGATATAATATATTTCAACAAATAGGTATAAACCATTTCTTATAAATAACCGTATTTGCTGGTTAATTTATTATTATCACTAAAATCACAGTCAGCTTGAGTACAAGTGACAACTTGGTAAATGAAACCAATTTACTGGTAGTTAGAGGCAGCCATCTTGAATCTTTACTGAACATGTTTTCAAGGCGTTTTGTTATTTTTGGCAAAGATTCAAAGAATGCTGCCCCCATATATCAACTACAAGTACTATTATTATATTACCATTTGCAACTACATGCCATCATATTGTGCCAAAACAAGCAATCATCTCACAGTGAGTGGAACATGGCTTATTGGAGATACACTTCACATAAACTAATTTTTATGAACATTTCGGCCAAATTTCTACAGGTCATGGATATTATTGTTTATATATAAGGACCCTGGGCGCTAACGCGGTCGAGTACGGTAATATGATATAATAACATGCTGTAAGAAATTACAACTACTAGCTGCATTCGTATTATGATCGCAGTTGAAATGGAAAACCTAGTTGAATCTTTAGTATTCTCAATATCCAAAGAACGAAGCATCTGATCTTTCTAGACAGTGACTGTTTATACGTCAAATCAATTAAACAGTTAAACAATTTTAAAAACAAGTGTAAATTAACATTTTTATAATATTAATTAAACAATAATCAAGTATGAGTAAAAACTCACCTCTGAAGCAATATCCTGATTCACATCAATATTTTCTTTCTCTTCTCTTCGATCCACTACTTTGGGTTTTCCGGCAACAACAGCAGCTTTTACACTATCTCTTTAGCAATTTTTTTCAGGTCCAGCTTGAAAGTCTTTCCTTTATCAACCCTAGGATCTGTTTTGTATGTTTTTGCCTTAGCAGCTTCAGGGTCCAACTTGTATGTTTTTGCTGCATCGATTTTGTGTTCATCTTTGTGCCTGTAGTAATCATCGGTTTTAGGTCTATGCTTTGAGAGTTTGTAGCTGTTTGATCGGTCCCCTGAATCTGGGTGTTTTTTTTTTATGTAAGTTTTGCTGGGTACGACTATGTCCACGGATTCCTCAGATGGATCCTCTGTGTACATTTTGGTGGTTGCAGTGACCTTGGCGGATGGGTTGATTGGATAGCGTTTCCGCTGCAGTGGAGGCTCTCTTACGCATCCTGACGTGAAACCTTAGGGGAGGGGGAATTAGTAAACGTTATATAAAATACTGTAGAAGGGTTAATTATTCACTGGGTTTTAATTTTGCTTATTTCGCTGACTGGAAAATGCGCTAAATTAAAACCCAGTGAATATGTAAAATTTAGCATAGAACACTTTATCTAAACGATAAAACCGTGATTATAAAACCCACTGAATATGCCTGAAATGGTAAATCAGTGAAATTTAAACCCAGTGAAAATTAGTCATTTTACAGTAACTGAATAACTGAACAATATAATAAACAAATTCAAAATAACTTGAACACATATCTACTATCAATGAACAAATTTTGTTTAAATTAATATGACAAATATTATTTAAATTTGAAATTCTGAAAATCCAAGAATGCTAGATACATGTATCATTTAAAGGCACTCCTCCACTTAATAATTCTTTAAGGTGTCATGTATTGAATTCTTATACTGCTGAAAAACTTACTTAATTCTGCAGACTTCAAACCAGCCTCTTTTGCTGACTGTTCCGGTGAAGGGCAGAATGAAGCAGACTTCCTCGAATCATGCCACTGGAAATGAGTCTTATATTCCGAGCTTCCCTGCTTTCCATGAAAATAAAAAAAAATAGATACAGTTAAATGCCTGAATTGAACAGGACAAACTGCTGGACTTGATCAGCTGCAAAAAAGATAGTATACTTACTGAAGGATCGGTCAATTTCATTTTCCCTGATATCCTGTGCAAAATTATGAAACTATTACTAATATTCTCCTATAAATTTTACACACAAAAACAATACAAAAAATGGCACAACACGCAAGAGTAAATGTTCTGCAAAGCTGGCAGTGCAAGCACAGTTTTGAAACTGTTTTTTTTTTTTGCAAACTTTAACTGTCCAATAACATACATGTTTCAACACGTACAAACACACAAAACAAGTCACCAACTCGAAGTGCCAACAACTGAACAATTGATACGTCAATTTTAAATGACTCTTAATATCCAAGCGCGGGAAATATACACCACATGACCGAAGAAGTGCTTGCATTCGCAATAGTTTATTCAAATAGAGCTCGTGATCGCCCACAGCTCACAACCTCAGGATGTGTGATCATTTGACCCTCCATTATTGATGGCGGTCAGCAGCTGCATGAATCTGAGGTGTTTCAAAAGTCGCTATACTATACAATAAACACTGTTTATTGTTTTTGTTTTTTGAAATTGTTATTTTTCACAGAGTATGTTCTACATATAGTGTAAGCTATGTTTCTTATTGTGTCTTTCGACCAGGGCACTGTGCTATGTCAATCGATAGCTATTATTTTTTTTTTTTTTTCGATCACAACTTCGCCAACTTTAGTTTAGGGTCGATGCATTGCACTTGGTAGGTTTTCTGGGAAATATATGATAAATTACCTTGAATCGGACAGGCATTCTGTCTGATTTATCGCTTCGATATTTCTCAAAATTTCTTCGACGGACCTTTGAATATCTCGGACATAAACAGAAACAACACAAAACAAAATACGATCGTTGTATCTTTCAAACCCAAAGTATGGCGTCCTTAGTACTGAGCATGCGCATTGACGGCCGCACATGTGACCTCTGACCTAGTATAAAGCTCAACTTCTCACATGTTTTTCTATTTTTCTCGTGTTGTCTGCATGAATAGAAATAATACACGATTACCATTGGTTCTCGACGAATATACGTGTATGACGTACATGAAGCTGGACGTATTCCTAGGTATTATTATTTTGGAGTAGCAGATTGAATCACAAATCCGATGGTTTACTAGTGGCATGCGTTTAGTGACCGTGGAGGCATGGCATGAACCCGTAAGTAGGGGCACGGTTAGTAACCGTGGTAGGGGTGAACCATTCCAAAACGTTACGTGGTAGGGGTTGGGTGATGGCGACAAAATAAATGATGTCAAATATATTTGATGAAATATTTCACCTTCATGCTTTAATCTACCCAAAATGAGGGACTGTGATCTACCTATTAAACTACGACTGTGTTCTATTAAAGTCCACCTCCAATGTATTATTGAATAAAAGGTAGTCTGGGTGCTTGTGAATGGCGAGCATAGAAAGCGAACTTGGCAGCATGTACAACTCGATCTGATTATAGTATGACAGACAGTGTGATTCTTTCTGAACTTTCTGCTCTCTGTTCAAGTCAAGAAAACTTGTGATTTACCACAGTCCTATCCTTTTCAGTTTAGTAAGGTTTTTTGTGGGCTATTTGATAACCTCTTTTCCTGAATATGTAGGCATGACAACCATTTCACAACCATATACTTTACTCATAATATGGATTCGAACGAAATAAAAAAAGTGTTACATCGGTGTACAATTCAACTTTTTAGCATTTTTTTACACAAACCACAGATGAAAAGTCACTGTGCAATTCAGAACGTTTTTCATATTATATTTCTTTTCATTTAAAAAGTTGTTAAAAATATCTATATTGATAAATTTTTAATTATTACCTTGCAGTCAGTAGATTTTGTTGTACAATTGTTTTAGGATAACCCATGGATGTGTTTTATGGTTAAATTATACTAAGAGGTCAAAAACGTGAATGAATACTTAGCAATAGCATGGGCTAAGAAATGCTAAGTATGGATTGAATCTGGCCCATTTTTAAGACCTGGTCCAGATCCATAGCATGGGCTAATGAGTGTGCATGAATGCTCTGCTCAGGCTAAGTCTAAAACACTATTGTATTCAATTGTAGTATTAGTAGTGTTCATACACAGCTCCTTAGCATGGGCTAAGAGATCAAATACCTTTGCCGATGCTAGGAAAATCTAGCCTGTTTTTAAGACCTGCTCCAGATCTTTAGCACAGGCTAACAGAGTGTGCCTGAACACTAAGCTCAGGCTAAGCACCCAAAACTCTATTGTATTCAATTTTCATTTGGAAGATTTACTTTTAAAATCATAATTATTTATTTCAATACTCAATGGGAGCACATATAGAGATATTGTTCTCTTGCTGAATGAATAATATTAAACAAGCTTATTAATATTAATTAGAATTCGTGATAATGTCGCTATATCGGTTCTGGATTGGTCAAATCCTACCAGTCATTTTGATTTATAAAAATTTATATTTATAAAACGTCTATAACATCCCCAGGTTTATGCTCTTCACTGTATTTGTTCAATCTTAATTATTTCTTTATTTTTACATTACCAGGGGTAATACTAGCAGCAATGGCAGGGAGGCTTTTGAAACACCACATTGTGTGTGGCATGTCTGGTGGAGTTGACAGCAGTGTTGCGGCATTGTTACTGAAGAGACAAGGATTCCGGGTAACTGGTTTATTTATGAAAAATTGGGATTCCCTGGATGAGAGTGGAATATGTTCCACTGAAGGAGACTACAATGATGCACAATTTGTCTGTGACAAGTTGGATATCCCTCTTCATCAAGTCAGTTTCGTGAAAGAATATTGGCACGATGTATTTTCAAATTTCTTAAAAGAGTATGAAAATGGAACAACGCCAAATCCAGATATACTGTGCAACAAACTCATTAAATTTGATAAATTTCTAAATTATGCAATGAAAAATTTTGATGCACATGCCTTAGCCACTGGTCATTATGCACGAACAAGTGGTGGTTATTCCGTTTTGACGAATCCGGAGTCTGTGAAAAAGAATGGGATTGCACTTCTGAAGGGGCTTGATGCGAACAAGGATCAGACATTTTTCTTATCACAGATATCCCAGAATGCATTGCAGAAAACTATTTTCCCACTAGGTGAACTGATGAAGAAAGAAGTCAAGGAAATTGCCCTCCGTGCTGGGTTTGAGAGAATTGTGAAAAAGAAGGAGAGTATGGGAATCTGTTTCATTGGAACTCGTAAATTCCAAAGTTTTATACAGGAATATTTGGAGACTGCTTCCGGGAATTTTGTGTCTGTTGAAGATGGAACAATCATGGGGGATCACAAAGGGTGCCACTTGTATACAGTGGGTCAAAGGTCAAATATTGGTGGACAAAGTCAGGCATGGTTTATATGTCATAAAGACAGCACAACGCAAACAATCTATGTTGCGCCAGGTAGTCACCATCCAGCATTATTTTATCAAACGATGATCACAGAGCCACTTTATTGGATTCGTCAAAGTCCTCCGAAATTATTGGAAAAAAAGATGTTTGAATGCGATTTCCGCTTCCAGCATGTGAATGTGCATCCCTTAGTGCGATGTACAGTGACTGTGAATGATAAACAGCAAGGTATCATATCTCTACAACAGCCACTGAGGGCGCTAACTGCTGGACAGTTTGCTGTCTTGTATGACGAGGATGAATGCCTTGGTGGTGCTAGAATCATGAAAACAGGACCATCACTTTATGAGCTCAGTAAAATGTGCTCATGAAATCTGGAAAAGGGTGGTGGGTTGGGTCACATTTTTTCAATATCTTTTGGGGGCAGACAACAGGCATTTTCAGCACCTGGCAACCATCACACCAATAACTCTCAGAAAACTGTACTTTGGGATAGTTGTTGACTCCTCTGAATACGAGATTATCCCTACATGTGCAGCATGTATAAATTTACTCAGGAGTACCGGTACTTCAAAGTTGAGATTGTGTCATTTTTCACTCTTGGCTGGCATTCCAAACCAGCTCACGCCCATAGAAATACATGGTACAGTGGTGTGCGTCTTAGTAACATGGAAAGTTTCGTAGCTCTGCCCCTGAGAATACATGGATTATCATGTTAGATATAACCAAATGATGCATGGCAACCTTGGTATTTGTAAACATTCCAATATCAGCCTACTCTTCTATACAGGCCCTTTATAGGGGAATTTGGCTCACTATTAAAAGACTACTTTCATCAACCTCCGCTGGAAGTAGTGATATCTCATATTGAAAAAGTTGCTGAATAGAAATCACTGCAAGCTCAGCTATTAAATGGATCTTTTAGTCAAATAAAATCCTCCCAAGATAGTATGGTCAACAAAATGCACAACACTGGGATAGTTTCATACCTCTTTGGTCATGTGACCTATTCTGGCTTTACATTCATTCCTTAGGCAAGATTGTGACACCTCAGAATATACAATTGACATTTTGTAGTTACCAGGCATGTAAATTAATCTCAGCAGATTGCTGAATCTTTCAAATCGTGTTCAAGTTTGCAAATTCCAGTTGTGGTCAGCATCTCAAAACACTTTGCTTACTAAGGTTCAAATGTGAAACTACCTACCATACACACCCAATAATACAAGAGTAGTTTCTCATTCAAAATTCCACAGTCAATTGGAAAGCAGCTTGTTTGACAGGTAATTTCAACAAATCGTGTCTTGGATGAATGCTTTGAAATGGCTTTGAGACCTTGGAAGGGGTGGGGAATACAAGGAAGTTTACAATGAACTGTCATTCAGATGAAGGAATGTAAAAGCTGAATGACCAAAATAGTTGATTCATCATAAAAAGTGATCTAATCAACCAGCAGAAAAAAAATGCTCTGAATAGATTTGGCATGGTTTTTACATTCATGAAAAGTATACAAACAAATTTCTAGTTGTAAAACAGACTTTAATTATGAATAAAACAGACTAGATTACAACCATATTATTATCATTTATGATCTTGGTCTTTCTTTCTTCTCTTTGTACAAAGCCCAGAGTGATACATTAGCTACTTTCACAACCTTGAATCGTACACCAGGAATATCACCAACAGCATGACCTTTACGTCCGAAACCTGCTACCAACACTTCATCGTTTTCCTATGGAAGACAAAACACAGTAAAAGCATTGCAGCCTTGCCATTCATACACTCATTTGTTTGCCCTATTTAATCGGAAATACAGGAATATTGAGTGATTGTAGGCATACACTTGGAAAACAAATCCAACTAAAGTTGGTGGTGGTGGTTGGCCGACTAGATTATCGGTGCCAATCTCGCATATGAAATGTAGTATATTCTATGTATAAATACGAAATGTATAAATACGAAACAACCCCCTCCCCTAAAAAAAAAAAACCATGCACCTATAAAGATAACTCGTGCATCAAATCATTCACTCCTTGAAATAGTAGCTTAGAAAGTAAATGTTGTGCATGATCAGGCCTTAAACTTGTATTGTTGACCAAACTTAGTTAAAAGCCTTTACAATTTTGAGTAACTTGGCCAAGAACCAAATTTGAAAATAATTGATTTTATGTGGTACATCCTGATTTTGTGCGATTCATGACTGAAAAGAAGCTGATAACTATCGCAACCGAATCTACGAAACTGTTGATGTTTGACTATTGGCAAGTCGAATCTTGTGTGAATATTATAGCAGGTATATTTATTACAGTACACATAAAGCGGGAGGGTTGTCACCTGCGCTTGTGTGGAAATTGAATCCCAATCGATGATAACACACTCTAAAAACGCAAAGGCTCATGGGTAGATGCTTGTTTGTAAGCAATGTATGGCAGTGACTCCCCCGCTTTAACATGTCAAACAAAACTTCAAACAAAATTTGGCCAACAATACAACTTCAAGATGCAGCTGGTCAACAAATATGTCCCTTCCTATCATGCAAAAAAAATAGCATGTGGATCAAAAGTGTTTTATATTACGGACAAGCAGAAACTCACTTCAATATAGTTTAAGCAACCATCTCTTGGTACAAAAGCTGTGATTTTCTTTCCGTTCTTAATAAGCTGAACACGAACACATTTTCTGATGGCAGAGTTGGGCTGTTTGGCCTCAACACCACTGCAAATGAAAAAAAAGTAAGGGAAATCATTTTCAGAGACGTTTAAACCACCAGTTCACACACCACATCAAGTTTGATTAGGAAATCAATTATTTGATTGGCTCAGCTCACAATGTTGAAAATATCCATCTCCTAAAGAGTACAGCTTTGAACACTGCTGAATGACTGTCATTGAAATTTGTATATATTTAAAAAAAAAAAAAAAATGGTTTCTCAAAGTTTAAGAAACGTGTCCAGACATCTTTAGCAACAATACTAATGAGCATTGCTTAACTTACACTTTTTCAAGAACAATGCCTTTCGCATGAGAAGCACCACCAAATGGATTGGCCTTCAAAGCTGTACTGGAATGAGCTTTCTTGTAATCATTGTCATGCCACCTCTGCTCACGTCGTGTAATACGCAACTTACGGGCTGTACGAAGACCATGTGGCTTACCTAAAAAATAACAAAAGAAACAATGAATCTTCACAAAAAAATTAACAGAAATGCAAAAATGTGGCTGTATGCATGTATTGTAGGGCAGTTCTATCTGTCTTGTTTCTCATTTGAAGGGTGGACAGTCCAGCACTCTTCGAATGGCAGAGATTGTTGGTGCCAATCTTTCAATGTCCAATACTTTGAAGTGGAGACCCAAAACAAACGTGCCTTGGCTGGATAAGATGAGGTTCCAGGAGAATGATACATTATCAATTATTGAAGATTCTGATACATTGTATCTTCTAAACCAATTTGATGTGTCAGACACAGATTTAAAGAAATAATTCTCCCTCCAGCCCACATAAAATTTGTTTTTTAACACTTCTCTTCCAAATAGTCACCACACTGACAACTTGATTTTGGGAAAGTACCTACAAAATCAGTCCCGTTAGAGGGCACACTGTTCTGCAGCATCAAAATATCAAGTTTTATGTTCGGTCTTTTGTAATGTCACGACGAACGATTTTTTTTGCGGTCACACCAGATACAAGTTCACCCGAAAATAATAAAACCTTAAATTTTCGGGTCAAAATACGTGACTTTTACAGTCAGCTTTTTAACAGTGACCTGTATCATCTATAGGTCAACACTTCATTGGCAAAAACTATATATAATACTATATGGTGTCAATTGTCAGCTATTTATTTATACTCTATAACAACATTGGGATACAATATTTTAACATCAATGGTCTATCGCGAAGTCTGTTCACACGTTGTGCAACTCGAGTCTTATGTCGACTCGCTAAAATACTTAAATTTGGCGTATTCGACGTAAATTTGGGGTGCGGTGAAACCTTTAATGCGCACAGGGATACCTAATTAACTTATACGTCAATAACATGGTAATTAGTTTATTAAAATTGGGCAAATATTTCAGTAAAATTTCAGACACATGGTAGACTTACCCATGATGGACAACGATGCGAGGAAAAGACCGACCGCGGGATTTTGCGAGAGTAACGTATCCTCGTGATTTCGACATATCGTCGATGAGGGCGTCGTCTGGAACGTGTTTTTTCTACTAAATTTATTAATTCACTGAAAAATAGAAACGAAATGAAGATATTTATTAAACCAACATATATTTTTAATACATCATCAGAGTGTGTTAGATGTTATCACAAACAGTTCAAACGAGAAATAAATATTAAAATAATTATAGAGGGCGCTGTTCATTTGACCTACTATCATGTGACAACGATCTCACCATTTACGATATTTCGCTCAACCTAAGAAGGTTGTATCTGTTCGACTATGTCTCCTATTCCTGTTTTAACGGCTCTATTTTGCCTCTGTATTGGTGTACAAGGACATGTTCCAGTCGTCTCGTGGTCAAATACAAAGTGAGTCTGTAATTTATAATAATTTGTGGTCATTTTGTCTTCGGAAAATATCGTATTTTTAATATTTTATCGGAGATCACCTTTATTATAATTTACGTTTGGGAAGATTGCCCATTTATTAATTGATGTGTTAAAAAGGGCCGGAATCCAATTGAAACCATTTCAATTAATCCTAATAATTGTATATCATAAATTTCTTCTACTATGTTTCCATGTGCCTGCATCTCGGCGGCTTGCCTGTATATAGAAACATTAATTAATTTGCATATTCTGCACTGGTTTGATAATAGTGTGAAATTAATTATACTGGTAGTTGCTATGATGAATTCGATTAACGGCACAATGATTAAGAATCTAAATGTTCTTATGTCCTAAATAAATTTGTGTTGAAACTGCTGATAGAATGACCTCATTATGGTTAGATTTGATGGTTCACCCAACGTCAGATGAAATAGCCTTACTGATAATAAAAAACACACAGAATTACTGGTACAACAAAACCAAGAGCTACATGACTGTAGAAATTACTCGCGAATAATATCCATTGAAAACTAAATACAATGATATGCAACAAAGATCCCATAGGGCCATTTCGAGTGAATGTCAGTCAAACATACCGTAATTTGAAAAGCAGGACATCATTACAGAACGCAGTCAGCTCTAGAATAGATTTGATTGCATACATACAGAATAAGAATTTCGAAATGAACTATGTTGTGTAATAATAAAATTATTATTATGAGACAAAATTACTTACATTATTAAACCATTTGTTTTTACACAGCATACTATCACAGGTACCCCCTATTGCCGCTGGTCATACAGTTTCTTTGCCCAGTCTTGAGCAAGAATATCTTGATGTGATTCTACACAGTGCACCACAAAACATTGTGTTATTTGTACAAGACAAGGTAAGGCTTGAAATCAAAAATTGGTGTATCATAAAATAATTTTTTTTTTTTTTTAAATTCTGACTCCTAAAAAGTTAAAAATAGCTGTGATGTGTACGTTTCTAACTGCTTTGCGTGTTGACCAGAATTTTTTTCATTACAAGTTTTTTTTTAGCTCCGCTGTCGACTTTGTCGAGCGGAGCTTATCATATGAGTGATTGTTCGTCGTCTGTGTCAATGTTTTACTTTGTCGACTTCTTCTTGAAAACTACAAGCCTGAATGCTTTGATACTTGGTGTATATGTACCTTGGGTAGACCTCTCTCAGATTTGTTCATTTAATGATGATATCTTCAATTCTCTAATTTTGGTGAATATTTTTGTCATTTTTGGTAAAAAGTGATATTTTCGACTTCTTATTGAAAACCGCAAGTCCAATTGCTTTGATATTACATATATAGGTACTACATGTGGACCTCTCTCAGATTTGTTTATTTCATGATGATATCTTCAAGTCTCTAATTTTAGTGAATATTTTTGTAATTTTTGGTAAAAAGTGATATTTTCAACTTCTTGTTGAAAACCGCAAGTCCAATTGCTTTGATATTACATATATAGGTACTACATGTGGACCTCTCTCAGATTTGTTCATTTTGTAATGATATCTTCAATTTTCTAATTTTGGTGAATATTTTTGTCATTTTTGGTAAAAAGTGATATTTTCGACTTCTTGTTAAAAACCTCAAGTCCAATTGCTTTGATATTACATATATAGGTATGTACTACATGTGGACCTCTCTCAGATTTGTTCATTTCATGATGATATCTTTAATTCTCTAATTTTGGTGAATATTTTTGTCATTTTTGGTAAAAAGTGATTTTTTCCACATTTTGTTGAAAACCTGATTGTTTAGATACTATACATATTGTTCATTTTTTAATGATACTTTTTGTTCTTTAATTGAAATATGCATTGCTAACAGCGGAGCTATCTCAGACGAGAGGCTGCTTGTTTTCACACCATTTGCTAAAACACTAACTCCTTGTCTGACTATTGATATTACTCATTACAGTTAAGTATTGAAGACTTCACACTGTATGGTGATGTTTATAACAAGGACAGCAATAAGAATACATTCCAACATCTCAAGGTAAGAACTGAAAACATTTTGCTTTACTCAAGTCAACAGCATGGTTTGATAGGATGAACCTCTGTACCGCCAATATACCAGGAACCAGTACATACCCGGGGGTATAGTTATTTATCTCCTACTTTCAATTTGGTTTAATAGCTCCAGTAAATCACATTATCTTTATACCTTTACATCTTACCATAAACTAATCAGAGGAACATTAGTTGACCTTAATGTTGCACTCTGAGAACATTATTATAGCTTTATTTGGGTCTTGTGAAATATTCAATGATATGAACATGCATGCATTTTGGAAAATATTTGGGAATTCACCCTTGTTACAAATTACTATGACCCCCAATTAATTCAAAGGAAGCGAGAAGAGGAGATTCTTTGTGAATGCCAGTATTCATACTCAATGAAGGAGCAAAGGAAAATAGTGACATTTGAGAATTGATAACACTTATTTCATTCACAGCAATCTTTAGAATCCGCGACCTCGTCATTCACCTTGCCCTCTGTGAATATCGGCAGCGATAGAGATAATATGATGGAATACCTGGAGTCTCATATCGATGGTAAAATAGTTGACTTAGAGTCAACCACTTTGAAAGATGTTACCTTAGATAAGGAAAAATTCAACTTGATTATCAGACGCCTGCCGCAATATAGCAGGTAAAGTCGTTTTATCTCATGATCTCATCATAGTGACCTTTGTACGTTATGTATGTACTTTTGTCAGTAGAGGAGGAGTTGTTTTCAGCATTGCAGTGCTGACTGAGTAATTTACACCGATATATAGATTAAATTGAATTGGAGATCTGTATGAGTAAAATATTGTTTTGAATTAAAAAGAAACAAACAAAAAAACTATTTACTCCCTTTCACTTGCACAGTTTTGAATTTTCGATATCGCATCTAAGTTAATTCAACAATGAATTTGCATTATACATGTATATATATATATATATATATACATGTATAATAAATAAACAACATATGCCATATTCTTACATATTGTAAATTGTCTTACTATTCACGGATAGTTTTATATCCGCTCAACAACTATGTAAAAACTTTATTAACTCGTTAACCAAAAAAGAAATGTCACATTATCTTTACGGTATTAATAAAGAATTATATTCTATTCTATTCTATATACACAAGTGTACCTAGTTTTTTGAATGGTCTACCTTGACATAAACTGGATGTCACAGCATTGCCTTTTGGTAGATTTGTATATTTCCTACAAAGCTCCATAAAAATTTTCACAAAACCTGCTGATGCTAGATCATATAAGGGCAAATATTATGTCTGAGTTTATTTTCATCTGAAAAACAAAACAAATTACTGTTTATTGAATCAATCAAAAATTATTCTATTACTTCACGCACAGGAACAAGAACCCTCTCGGGTTTGACATCACTAGACTAAATTGTATGTTGCTTATATATTTACTAAAGTCTGCTAAAGCAAATCAGTTATTTTTCAGTTGTCTGAATGGCAATTCTACTTTGGTAGTATATATTTAGCAAGTATTAAAGTAATATTTATCATGATTTTGATTCTAGTTGCCAGTTTAGAGTATTGTTATATGTTGTACAATATACTTTTTTTTTTTTTCAGCAATGATAAATCAGTGAAGGATAGTTTATCCGAGTCTGACCGAATAATAGGTGAAATGATGACGGAACTATCCACTCAAGGTCTACCTTATACTGCTTTGTTAACGGCAAATAAACCCTCTAAGGTATCAATATTATTTTACATACTGTGAATAACTATAATTTCTGGTCACAGAAAATGCATTTAGTTGCAGTGATCATTTCAATTTAGATTATTATGATTATAGTCAAATTGACTTTTGCATTTATAATTTATCTATAAGTTATTAACACATTTTTACTATCACTGTCTGTTAGTGAATATAAGGGTATTTGGTACTGATCAATCAAATGTTGATTTTGTTAATTTAAAATTTGCAATTTGGTAAGGTCACTGTGTGACTTTGTGAGGTCACTGCACAACTTTTTGAGGTCACTGCACAACTTTTTGAGGTCACTGCACAACTTTTTGAGGTCACTGCACAACTTGGTGAAGTCACTGCACAATTTGGTGAGTTCACTGCACAACTTTGTGAGATCACTGCACAACTTGATAAGGTCACTGCTAATTGGTGAGGTCACTGCACAATTTGGTGAGGTCACTGCATAACTCAGTGAGGTCACTACATAACTCGTTGAGGTCACTGCATAACTCGGTGAGGTCACTGCATAACTCGG